GAAATGATGACTGCTGTTAATGTCGTGTCTCCTGTGGGTCGTACAGTCACAGAAAAAAAAAATTGAAATCATATTTATCTTTCTCTGTAGTTCTGCTCCAGTTTTTCTTTGGTCAAATATTTTTAATTTCAGTGTAAACACCTGTGTTACATAGGTTTCACTTATTCAGAAGAGCAGTCGCGCACCACAAACATAATAATAATAATAATAATAATTCAAACAGAATAGCCTCTTGTCAACATAATTATAGAGTGTGATCTATTTTCAACTGAAAATATCTTCAAACTAATGAAATATAAAGTTATTAATGAAGAAAACCCGTCTGGATAACAGCAGACTGACTGCTCGTAAAATATAAGACAGGTCTGGACCACGTGAAATTTGTTCGTATCTGAAAAAAAAAAATCTTAGAACACGAGAAAATTGGTGAATGCCACAAATTCTCCTAAATCACTTGTACGCACAACTTAAGAACAAATCTGTGCGTACGAACAGTTCTTGCATGAGGCCCAATGATTTTCTTTTTCTTTTTCAATTCAATTCAATTCAATTCAGTTCATTTCAATTCAGTTTCAGTTTACTGATATAGCACAGTCTCACAGCACTGTAAAAAAACAAAAACAAAACAAAACATCAATCTAAGGAAACCAGCAGATTGTGATGAATCTTCACTTCATCAGTCTCCCATCCTGAGCAGCACAATGGCAGAAGTGGAAAGGAAAAACTCCTTTTTAACAGGAAGAAACCTCCAGCAGAACCAGGCTCAGGAAAAAAAAAAAAAGAACCAGGCTCAGGATGAGTGTTTATCTGCCTCGAACAGCTGGGTTTGAAGGGACAGGAAAGAGACACAAAAAAAAAAGAAGAAAAAAGGACTGATTTCATTAAATCGTGCAGCAGCTATGATTGGATTCTGTTTGATAGTTCGATTCTCGGGCCGTCATTTTGCCAATCAACAAAGCATTCTGTGTAAGTGAACTGAAACAAGGTATATAACCTTTTTTTTAAAACTTCTTTAAATTTTAATCCATTTAGATGATGAGAATAATGTGTTAGGAATATCTGAAAACCCAGTATGTGTAAACAAATTCAAACATGTTTATGTAATATATTTAACTAGTTTCTACCCATTTATTAAAAAAAATAGTAACTTTGTCTTCCGTTTTGCAACGAGTGAATAGAGTGTAACCTTTCACCTCCAACAAGGAGTGCTGACTTATTTCATTCCGGGGAGTACACTCAGATCTCACATTGGATGTCAGGAAGATGCCCGGCGCTGAACTGATGAAGCTGCCGTCCCCGATTCCACAGACGGATATGACAGCAGTGGAGGCAGCCAGACGTCATATTTTTCTCACGAACCATGAATCTCCTGCGTCGCTGGAAATAGCACTCGATGTTCCCGAGATCATCGTCCCCCATCAACAGTGGCTTTTCCATTGCAGATGAAAAAGCTTGGTGGGTGACGAGTGTGACAAACTATCCTTCCTGTAATGCTTTAACCGTTTCCACCACGTTTGAACAAATTACAGTAGTTTGGAGGTTATTGTCCGAACTGGAATTATGGCTGCTGCAAGCTTCCACTGTGATTTATTGTATCTGGGCTGGGGGCCTCTGGTGCACTGGTGGTCTGCGGTTCTCATGGGCTGGGGGGTAAGGTTGGCTGGGGGCGTGACATGGAGCTAGTGGTGGGGGGGGTCGACCCAGCCTAGGTGTCCTTGTGTTATATGTTCTGATAGTGGCCCGAATGTTGGGGTGGGTGTAGTATGTCTTCTGGGGTGGGGATTGGGTTGGTGGCCTTTGGTGGTGGCTGGGGGCCGTGCTGGGCCAGCTGGTTGGCCCCTTTGCTGTGGCGGGGGCCCGCCCTGGGTATCCCCTTGCTCTGTCGGCGGTTGGGTGGGCGTTCTTGGCCGGGTCGTCCTTGCTGGGGAACGGTGGCCTCTCTGGGCAGCGGGCCGGCTATGGGGCTGGGGTCGAGTTTTGGGGGTCTGGGTGGCTCTGGTGGGGTGGGGTGTTGGTCCCGGTTTCTGGTGGCCTTCGGGGCTCCGTCAGTCCATGGTCTGGTGTTCCGTGGGCTTGGCGGTTTGCCTGGAAGGAGAGGTATTTGGGCTGCTCTTCCTGGGTGGGTTTCGGGGAACGGAAGGGCTTACTGGGGCCAGCGGGGGAGCTGACTCCCTGTGGGAGCATTTTGCTCCTTCAGCTTATTCTCCCCATCCCTCACCCCACACCTCCATCCTCTTCACTTTCAACTTCACCCATGTAGGTTTTTTTTTGGGGCACATTTGTGTTATAAGAGCAACAATATTGCATTTCTATTTGCCATAACCACCTGGTCCCCAAATTTTATTGTACATCTTAGACATTCACTCATAACATTTTCATGAAATTCACACATAGGAACTTAAGGTGGGCACTCATGGCTATAGGTAGCCGGATGGCACCACTCTCACCTCCTGTGCCTGTGCCCACCCCCCAAGGTTTGCATATAGACACTTATGGTTTTGGGTTAGAGTAATGGTGGAGGGGAAACTGGCACCACGCCGGCCTCTGCCTCTTCTTCTTTCCCTTTTTAATTACTCCATAGAACAACACGAACCAACAGTACATCTGGGGGTGGGGGTGTGGGTGTCAGGGTCTTTATTCCCATCCCGTTCCCCGACTGCCATTTGGGGAGGGGGTCCTAAAGAAGGGCGGGCCTCCGGGTGTGGTCTTGGGCTGTGGGTGGGCACGGGGCTTGGACGGTTGCCGGGGGCGAGGCTGGCTCTCCATCCTCCCTGGTGCTGCTTGGTCTCCTGAGGTGTGGCTCTTGGTTCCTGTAGGTGGTCCCCTGGCCGGGGAGGCTGCCGGGTTCTGGGGGATGGTCGGCTGGTGGGGGGGTGCACTTTGCCGTTGACGGTGTGGTGGGGTGGTCATGGGTGTGTCTTCTCTGCCGCGGGGGGCTGGCCGGGCGTCCTGGTGCGGCACGGGCCGGGCCTTGGCTATCTGCTCCTCTCCACCTCAGAATGATTGGGTCTACCTCCTGGGTTYGGGTGTGTGCTGCCTCCAATAGGGGGTGGGTGCATGTCCTGGACCTGGGGGGCATAGAGTGTGTATCGGGGTTATGTGGCATCTTTGTATATCTTTGATTGAGTGGGGGTGAGGATGAGGGTGGATGGTGCGATTGTGTATGTTTGGGTATTTGTCAGGCTGCGGTCTGGATTGCCCCTCCTACTGGTTTATCTGGGGGTCCGCTGCTACTCGGCCCCCCAGTGGGGTGTGTGGCTGGCCGCCGGCGTGCTGGGGATTCCCGGGGTCTGGGCGCTGGGGTGTGTGCCGGCCTGCCTGGAGACTGCCTGCTGGGGCTCGAGGCCTCTGGCCCTGTCGGGCTTTGGCCTGGAGGGGGTGCGCCCTGGGGGCCCGGACCTCTGTGCCCTTTCCTGGATCTGCTCTGGTATGGTGGGTGCCAGTGGGGCCCATGAGTTTGTCGCTGCTGGCCCCGGGGGCTGTGCGTGTGGTCGATGGGGGGACTCTCCCAGTTCTCCCCTATGGTCTGATCTGGGGGGTGGDTGGGCGGATCTTCCCGTGCGAGTGCCCCTTGGGGCTCTGCGCTCGGGATCCCTCTCAGGCCCTTGGGCTCTGGTCTTCCCTATGTCTGCCTCGTGTCTTGGGGGTTGGGTTTCCGGTCCTCCACAGTCATTATTAAATATTCCATTGGAGAAATCTTGTATATACATGCATGTTCACAACCGCTCACAAACAGGTGTTCTGATCCGGGGGTTCTGACTGGTCACTGAGTGTGTACGTATATGTGTCTGTGTGTATATACTGACAATATTTATGAATGTAGGCATTAGGGCTGCCACGATTAATCGATTAATCAACGACTAATCGATTATTAAAATAATCGATGACTAATTTAATAATCGATTAATCGTTTTCTTTTTTTTTGTTCTTTACTTTGTTTTTCTCTCCAAACTGCTTTGACACCTTCCACTGCCACATCTGCCTTTCTGTCTTTGACACACATGCACAGTAGTGGTAACTGGGGTAGGCCGTGGACGTTACAAGACATTATACAGACAGGCTCTAGTATCATGGCTACTCGGCAACGGAACTTAAAAGTGTGGGATCATTTTAAGAAAATGAAAGAGAAACCTGTGCAATATCTGCAAGGCAGAACTTGCCTTCCACAGCAATTATTTTTAGTTAGCATATAGCTAAAATCTAACGATGGTTATACTGTATAACAGCAGCTGCATTCTGGCGTGATAAGCTGTATGTTTTATATTCAATTAACGTATGATCCGATTAGTCGACTAATAGAAAAAATAATTGGTGTTTAATCGATGATAAAAATAATTGTTTGTGGCAGCCCTAGTAGGCATGTACTGTAAGTATGTATGTATTTATATATGTATGGGTAAGTGTATAGATATTTATATATGCCCTCCATGTATTTATCCATTTATTTTTCAGGTGAGCGGACAGATGTTGAGTGTGTGGTCCTGTGTTTTGTTGGTGTATATTTAATATACTTCTAATCGCTATTTCAATCTTTCTATCTTTCTAATTACTTATCTCTCTGTTTTTCTCTCTGTCTCTATTTTCTCTTCACTTAAAAAATGAATTTCCTTTAAAATAGTTTGACCTTTGAGAATGCTATTGCCTGGAAATTATTTTCTAAATGACTATTGAGAATAATGTTTTTTCTTTTTCAGTCAATTTCAAAGTTCATAAAACTATTCTTTCACAACAATGAACCAAAGCAATAATATTACTTGCTGTGATACTAAGTGATTTCACAGTACCTTAAAATTACAAAATACTTTGCCATTGAAGATGTAAAAGGCTCCTGTCATGTTGGAACCTGGATAGACATCCTGTGACTGGTTCAGTCATCTGAAGATGGGACACCAGTGTCTGCAGCCTCAGCTAGCTTCTCCAAGCTACTAATCCGTATTTAATTAAACTCCAGAGACTTTGAAGCAAGCCTGCGATGCAGACAGGTCTTACTCCTCTGAGAGATGGCGAGGGAGACGCTGTCCTCGGTTAAGGGTCTCAGCTGGTTTCTTCTGCGGTCCGCTTTGTCTAATGAGCTCTTTAAATTAACACTGGACCTTGCCAGCTCATATTTAAATTTTTTTTGAATAATAACGTTCCTTTAAATCGTCCTCTGACAACCTTAGTTGGCCCCTTTTTACCTTTCGAGCATATCCCTGCGTGCACTCTTGTCAGCAGCCACATTTGAAAGTAAAAGCAGAGGCTGAAACAAAAGCCTAGTTAACAAAGCAGTGCTAAGTAGGTTGGTAGCGAAACCTAAATGCTGGATTAGTAGAAGCACAAATCACAGGGGCAGGGCTAAACATCTGGGTCTGTCAGGCACTGTGACAGGTATCTGAACAAGTCACTCTGACAGCCGACCACAGCCTCCATGGGGACAGATTAAGCCCAATTCATCCAAGCATTTTTAAATGTGGAGCTTGTTACGCAATATTGTCTGACCTCTGTGTCAGTTACCTCCATGGAAATACATAGAATGGTCTTAATCAGATGTTTACCATAAAACAACATCTACCCGGTAACATTGGCACATTAAACTATCATCAAAGTAGATTATCTTTTAGTGGAGTGAACGTTTCCTTCACTCCCTCAAGCTGAAAAGGTCCAATTCACTTGCTAAAGGAATCACTTTTTCATTGCGGCTGATCAATATAAGACATTAATCGTCCTGTACAGGCCGGCGTGCCATCACTGGGTGAAAAATGAACCAACCTTTCCTTTCAGTAGCCCTTCTTTCCTTCCCTGAACTTTAATTGTTTTTTGTTATCTTGTTTAAAAAGAAAAAAAAGTTTTTCACATATTTCAATTTTTAATGAGAGTTATGTGTTTGTTTTTTGGTTCCTTTAGATTTTGGTGTATACAGAAGGCCTTCATGGAAAATGGCTGTTCACAGAGATTCGAGCCTTGTTTTCCAGACGCTATTTGCTGCAGAATACAGCTCTGGAAGTATTCTTGGCAAACAGAAGTGAGTTTGAACATTTTTTTTTTTCTGTAGCTGTTAATTCTTGAAATTTAGTCATGCTATTTTGGGGGAAAAACATTAGAGTATTATGCTGGATCCCCACTCCAAGTGCTGATTGGCTGTGAAGATTATATAAAAAAAGTTACATAACTAAATATTCTTTTTTTTTCTTGCAGCGTCAGTCATGTTCAACTTTCCCGATGCAGCCACAGTGAAGAAGGTGGTTCATAGCCTTCCTCGTGTTGGGTTGGGCACGAACTTTTCCCTTCCTCTCACCAGGTTAGACCTGCAAAGTCTAACTTATTTTTTTTCTGATTTACATTTTCAAATCTTGATTGGGTGTAGTTTATACAGTTCAGCATCTGAAAGAGATAAGATCCTTTAAAAAATGTTGTTTGCTTCACACATTAAAGTTTAGTTCTGTCACAGTGCATCAAATAGTTGCTTTAATCCTGCAATGTCTGCATATGAATCTGTAGACAGGAAAAATAAATACAATAATTGCTATGGAATAATTTCTACACTTTAATTTGCAGTATTGCTTTAACAGCACTATAAAATGTATCTCCTGCACATTTCTATTTTGGAAAAAAAAGGTATTTTTACTTGTATAACTTGAGAAGCTTAATGACTTTAATCTCTTAGTCTGACATTGATTAATTCCATCGTTTTCTTTTGGTCTAATTGGATTTGGGGTCATTTGTTTTTCATGCTCTGGGGACGTGTGCATGTGCGTATGTGTTTGTGTGTTCAACCCAGTTTATTGCGTATTTTTCTCTTGCAAAATTGTAACTTTAATAAAATTTTTTTATTTAATTTTCTTTTAGTCTGTTTTTCTTGTTTGTGCAAACATTTTCACATCTTTTTGATGTTTCATTTTCGTACTTGTAGACGTATTTCTCTGGCCACACCCAAGCAGCTCTTCAAGGCATCCAACATGACTCAGCGCTGGCAGCGTCGAGAGATATCCAACTTTGAGTATCTGATGTTTCTTAACACCATTGCCGGTGAGAACAAAGTCCGACATGTTTTAGAAAAGTTGTGTGAAAACTGCATACTTCTTTGTACTGAGTGAATCGACTGAAAGGGAACTGCCAGCACATGAATGAGAAAATATGCATAACAGTGTTCGTCAGCGCTTATCGTCATCATTATAATGCAGTGCTACTATTTGCTTCTTGATTTTTATCTTCTGTGCAGGCCGCACTTTTAATGATTTAAACCAGTACCCAGTCTTCCCCTGGGTCATCACTAACTATGACTCAGCAGAACTTGACCTCACTCTGCCCAGCAACTTCAGAGATCTGTCTAAGGTAAAACAAAGCATACACATCTTTTAAACTTTTTTCTTTACATACTTAAAAAGAGTCAGGTTGTAAGACACAAACAACATGGTCTCTGTGTGTTTTTTGAGTAACTGAAGTTAAATTGTTTATTATGTGGTTACTTTTAAGTTTACTACAGCTGTTTGTGCACTGTTAGCTGATAACTGTTGGATATCTGGGATATTTTTTTCTTGTTATAGACTCAAAAATGTTAGAATTGTAGAAGATGTAAAGAATTTAGTTACTTTGAAGGTAAAATCTGTATTTTTTATGATAATTTGGTTTGTTTATCTGGCATAACTTCTAAAGTATTATAACAAATTGACTTTATTAAGAAAAAACATTTAGTTTGGATATATTTGCCCTCTTATTTTGACCAAAATATTGAATTTTATATACGTTACACTCATGAGTATTTTCCCTTGCTGCAATGATATAAACAGACATCTGCATAATTAGCTTTTTGTTGGTTGATGACCTTCAGATCATTTGATGTAAAAACAGAATCAAACCCTCATAATAGAAGTCTGCAACTCCCAATTTCAGTTTTACCACAATTTCCTCTCTATGAGTCAGATCTCATAATTGAATTCTTTCAAGTTTGACCTTCCACAAAACACCAGGAAATGAAGTAATACTCCCTGATAGCTCCAGGCATCAAGTTATTGGGTTTAAAACAATGAAGTTTGCCCCTAAATGCTCCCTGGCACATAAATACACACACTCTCCTGCTGCTAAAAGTGCTTAAAACAATGTGCCCGCCATTCCCTTCTCCCCTTTAAAAAATGTAAGAAGACATGCAATTATTTACTGGAATTAACTCCCTCACTTCTACATGCATGCAGAAACAAAAAGGTATAAAATATTCTTCCGAGTTTTCCCTGGTTGGATTGAACATGCCAGCGATGGGAGGACAGAGGATTAGATTTGAACCGAGAAGATTGAACATCTGTCAGACTGCAGAACCCAAAATGACTGAATAAATCAGCCATGGAAACAAAAAAGCATTTGTTAATGGACTGAGGATAAGTTGTGGGGGATGCATTTTAGGGGGTTGGCTTTTCTTAACCCCATCATCTGTACTTCCAGCTATACTAGAATGCAGAAAAGTGAATTTAGTGATTTTTTTTTTTAGTTACGACTCAGACTTGACCAAACCAGTAAAGACAATCTGAAGTTTGTTACAGTGATTAACTAAATAATTTGTATTTCCTACAAAAATACAATGTAATGCTAAAATATCTTTGCAGAAAAAAGAAAAGATGCATAATATTTTGCAATTTCTTGTAAAATAGCCCAAAAAGCTGAAATTAGGAGAGAAGTAGCTGGAAAAGCTGAATCTAGGATGAATCTATAGCACTAAAGGAGGAGAACGAGCACGTTTGCTGAATTAAGCAAGAAATAGCTGAAATATTTATCACAATAAGGCAAATTTACCTTAAAAATGCCTGAAATTAGCTAAAATATAGTTAAAGCATAACTTAAATTCCAGAAGAAGAAAGAAGCTGATGGAAACACAAAAAAGTTAAATTAGCAGAATATTTGAAACTAGCAGAAAGACAGCTGAAAAAGCAGAAGAAAAGAAGTTAATTACAAAGAAGTTAAAAAAAAACAGAACCATAATAAAAGGTAAAAAATTTCAGGAAAAGTTTAATTATTTTGAGTGGGTTTAACGATGTTGAATTTTTTTTTCAATGAAAACAAAAGTGGCTGAAAAGGCTAAATATCTCAAAAAGTATAAATAGCTGAAATTCCAAAAGTCATAACTGGAATCTCTCGAAAGAGCTGAAATGTTTTTATTATGAATTATTGAAATAGCACAAAATTTGCGGAACGAGATGAGTGCCTCAAAGCATTATGGAAGAAAACTCGATCATCCCAGTAAAGTATTCACACAAAAAAGGAAAATAACTGCTGTTGGCTTTAAAAAAATCCCTGCCTGCAGTTTTGCACATATGAAGATTTGTTGAAAGGTGAGTATGATACAATGCACAACTTTAACAGTGCACAAATAACGTATCAAACACAAGTAAAACATCTCTTTCAATTTAGATTTTTTTTCACCCCACACTTTCACACACATGTAGCAGTCAACACCTCGTTCTCCTGTGTCTTGTGTCGTGTATCTTCCTCTACCCACCCTGGAGAGCTGCATATTTTTTTTTTCTGTTTATCTGCCTTGATGTTGCCTAGTAAGCTGAAATGTGACAGTCGTGCTTGCCCACAGACACCCACAAACATGCAGCCGTCCTCTGGTTCCTTAGCTTATTTCAACTTCCTGCTCTTCTCCATTGCTTTACTATCAAGTTTGGACAGCTCAGTCTCTTAACTCAGTGGAGCCTCTCAGCCCCGGGGACTTGGTGACTGAATGGGAGTTTGGGTTAAAGTAGGAGAAATGGAGAGACGATCAACATGCACAAAAAACAGAGGAGGAGGAGGAGGAGGAGAGAGTGTTAAAGAAGAAGGACATCATCATTTGCTGCCTTGTCATTCCTTTCTTCTTCTTCTTCTTTGGAAGCAGAACAGCAGAGGGAGAGAGGCCGATCTTTATTACATCTGTTTTGTTCATGTTGTTGACACGTGTGTGATATCAGTGTATGATTACTGGAGCGTGTCAGACTGCAGTGTCTGGAAAAGGGCAACCAGGGCTGTGCAGCTTCCCGAATCAAACCCCCACCACCATGCAGTTTCTGCACCACCAATCATTTGTGCTTTTTTTTTTTTTTTTGTTTGCAAAATCTTGCTTTGCTTCCTTTAGATTTGTTTAGTGCCCCACTCGCTACCACCATGCTTGTTTTTTATCCTTACTGTTGCAGTTTTCTTTCTATTGCTGCTTCCTCGTCCCTCCTACAGTATGTCACATTGGTGGTTGTCTCTCATAGAAACAGGTCATGTGCGAAGCCTCCAGTGACATTGAGAAGCCAAGCTGCCATGAATGTGTGCACATGCTACACACTGTCATCGTTGCCAGCTCAACAGAGGCCACACAGAATTTATGTCCTCTGCTACCAGAGCTGTTTTGACCCCAGGGACTTTCTTATCATAAACTTTACCCTCAACGTGACATCAAACGCCAACCCCAGAGATAACATTGTAGTCACGATAAGCACTCGTACTGACTGCAAATGTTGTTGCTCCTTTGTTTTGAAATTCCCTTTCCTCTTCGTGTAGCAACATTTTGCTAACTGCCGCACATAGACTCATAAAAAAATGCATTTGATCGCATGGAGGCTGCTGAGGTGCTTCCTTACCGAGGCAAGGAGCTCTTTAAGCAAAGGCACAATCTCATCTTAAAAGAGGGTTCTCCTTTTTGTTGTGTAGCTTTTAACAAAGCTCAACAAACAATTAAATGATTTTTATCTACTATGTAGTCCACATTTACACACAAACAGCTCTAGTGGGGATTTATTGAGCGTTCTCTGTACCTTTTGTGCTATAATCTGCTTCTCACAGCCAGATCGTCTAATAGTGTATTGATCTGGCTATACGTGCCCCATGTGTTCGTCCCCCAGGTCCTCCACACCATTTTCACTCTTTAAATAGGACATTAGACATCAACAATCTGTTCAAAAGGCTTGTGTGATTTATGACTTAAAGCCAAAGAAATGCCTGAATTGTCTGCAAGTTTTTATACTTCATCAGGGTTCACACTTTTGTTTTAAAAGCAATCATATAATCATATAATGAAACAAATCTGTTGACTGTTCTTTTCACGATTGGGTTTTCTTTTGGAGTAAAAACATTTTTGCTTTTTAAAATTGTACATTTTAATTGAAACTTAATCGATAGTAATAAACACAAGGAATTCTGTTTCTTTGACATGTCATGATGCAGACTTCCATAGCAATAAAATTCCAAATTTTAAATTTCTGTGATTTTCAACATTTTTTTTTAGCTAGACGTGTTAAATTTTACAATAGTCACAATTTTGTACAGAAATTTTATTCTAAAAAATGTACATAGATTTATTTGCGTTTTCGTTAACAGTTTAGCGCAGCTGTTTCCTGTGACTTTCCTCTCAGAGAAGCTTTCTCCATCTCCTTTCCTGACCAAGAACTGATTAAAAATGTAACCCGGCATTAATTCTCCGATGTTTACTGCTCCAAAGCGTTGGTACGTTTTCATTCCTTGCCTTTCTCTTTGGTCTAATTAAAACTACAATATTGGCTCATTTGTCTGCACGGTCGTCAAAGCGATATTGTGTGCCACGACATATTAGGCCAATCTGTAGCGAGGCGGCAGCAGGCATTTCATCAGCGCGCCGCTGTGATGTACGGCGCCGTCAGAGCTGCTGTGTTGTAGCTACTGTAAGCCGAGAGCGCGAGCCCAGCAGTAATTTACAGCAGTAAACAGTGTCGGGATCGAGCAAACCAACAGCCACCCCCCCACATCACCCCATGCACTCGCACACAATTCTCCTTCCCTCTGTCACTGTGGCACTTTCAGTCTTTTTTTTATTTTATATGCCTCCTCTCCCTTTTCTTTTTTTAATGAGCCGACTGTTATTAGGGCTATAAATCAGACCAATGGGTGTGATGTATAATTCACCGTGTGTACTCAACCACCCCAGTGGCCCTGAGGAAGCCCACCGTGTATCACTGTCAACAGAGAGCTGCACAGTGTGGCGGCACGGTGCGTTTGCACACACACACACACACACACACACACACACACACACACACACACACACACACCGAGGAGCGCTATTTACAAAACAACCATAGATATCCTCACATGAAATAAAAGCAACCACCACTGCGCTTTGTTAGATTTTTTTTTCCTATTACACAGCTATATGTACACAAACATGCTTCATTACACCCTCACAGAACAGTAACAGTTCCACAGATCAATATCTAAGACCTGCCATGGATGAGCCTTGCTGTGACGGGCACACTGTGATATGAAAGAGATCCAATTGATCCATACCCTGCAAGGCCCTCATCCTAAAAAAAAAGCCATCATTCCATTACCATTGATCTGCTCCAAGTGTGTGTGTGTGTTAGGAAGAGATGATGGGTGGCTGGGGGCTTCAGGGTATGAGGCCCATCCAGCAGACGTCTAATAAAAATTGAGCCAGCCTGAAAGTGATTTCTATAAATGAGTGTTTAAATAATAGCCGAGCATAGGGTTATTGGTTTCTTTAGAGATCAATGGAAAATTAATGCAACTTAAACCCTTTTTCCTACACTATAAATAGGGTCTGTGATCGGTGTATTAGTTACAGATTAATAAAAGCAGAAATTAAAGTCACCCTCGGCTTTGCTATTGCTATTCCTCATAGGCAGTCTTTCATTGGAGGACATTAGTTTTCTCTGACAGACTACAGCTGCAGGGGCTGCGTTTCATAGCCTCTAAAAAGCACTCTGAGGGAAAGGATTGATCTCTGTCTAAAGGGAAACATCATCTAATATTCATTTGAAATTGCGCTATGGTTGCCAGCTTCATTTTCCGTGCAAGCGATGTGTAGCAGCAAGGAGCGGCCCTTAAATTTATCCACATTCAAACTTCAGCTTGTGTTTTCCCTTTGCTTTCACTTTCAGCCTTGTTTTGTGTTTAGCTTTCATCCAAATCAATTGTCAGGTAAAGATGTTTGTTGCATATTTATTTAGAAAAAAAAACATGTTTCCTGTTTAAATTTTGTTTTACAGCCCATTGGTGCGTTGAACCCCAAGAGGGCAGCATTCTTTTCAGACAGATATGAGTCCTGGGAGGACGATCAGGTGCCCAAGTTCCACTATGGCACCCACTACTCCACCTCCAGCTTCACCTTGATGTGGCTGCTTCGCATTGTAAGTCGCAGCATCTGTATTAAACATTGAATTAATGGTTACTCTAATTGTGTGGCTTCATACATACATGTAGTAGCAGATAAAATGATAGAAGAACTAGCCCTAACCTAACCTGGTCCTCAAGCACATTCACACTTTTTTTCAAAACACATTTGCTTTTGAGGCATTCTCTCATATGTTTTTTAAAGAACATTTTGTAATAAAACGGTCCCTTTTAGTACTTTTGTTAAATGGGCACCATCAATCTTTCTATACTGCACTCAAGGGAGAGGGAGGTTACTAAGTTTCTCCAACGTGCAGGTTTTTTTTGTTGTTATTGTCCCAGTAGCTCACTGTCTCAGCTACTCCCAGTAGAGTTTCCTCATTGATCCCCACACATCATTAGCCAGCTTATTTCAAAGCCACTTTACCAGCAGCACTCACTTGTAATGCTTACTCAAAAATCTGACGTTACAATAGAAATTAGATTATGCGTTGAATTTTGTGTTTAGATGTGTATTTTGTCACAAAATATGTGGATGCATAAATACAATTTAAAGTTTTTAAATGAGGCCTTGTGGCTAATTTTAGAGAAGTTCACAAATATTCAGGCTGAACTCACCCAACTGTCTGCAGTATTGGTTTACAGCTGTAGGGCAGCGTATTGTGCCCATGTCAATGGAGGCGATTGCATCAGAAAGACAGATATTGATCTGTCCTAACAGGGTTTTACATGATTAGAAAAACATCAAGAACACCAGTGTATTGACTTCAGCTGGTCACTGGGATTATTATTTCACTTGTTCATTGTTTGACTCCAGTTCTGCTATGTGAAAAGATGATGATTCTGTGCATAGGATGCTTTGTTTATTTGTTATTATTATTATTATTATTATTATTATTATTATTATTATTTTATTTTTATTTTTTTGTAGGAACCTTTTACAACGTTCTTCCTTAACTTCCAAGGAGGAAAGTTTGACCATGCTGACCGCACCTTCTCCTCACTGTCCAGAGCCTGGAGGAACTGCCAGAGAGACACATCTGATGTTAAGGTGCCATCCACAACTAAAGATAAACATACATTACATAATGTACAGTATAAAGAAATACTAAGTGCATATATAGTAATGAGAAATAAATACCCATTCAGCATCTTAACAAAAAACAAAAAAGAGAAAGGTTTCCAAAGAGAAATGTTCAGTCACTACCAATCATTGTCCCAATGCTATGAAAGCTTCCTGGTCTTCTGATCAAAGCGTTAGACTAATCCTCATCTGTCTCAGCCGTCTGTCTCAGATTCAGCCAGCTATAACATGGACTTGAATTCCTGCCCATTGGGCCCCCAAACGGTGCTGAGCTTTTGGATCTACCCCGCAACAGCTCAGGTCATTCTCATGCCGAGGGCCTTCGAACTCCCCCAGTGCACTCTTTTTACTGCTCTCCTAAAACATTTACAGCTACAGTTAGACGCTCGCTGTCAGAGCTGGGTTTTGCTTGCTCTCCTGGCACTGGGTCACTGGATGGAGGAACAGCGGTGGTGTTGGGGGCTTTGACGCCTGATTGCATTTACCACCACCCACACCCCACCCTTCACCCGTGTTCCCTCAGATAAAACATATGGATTGTGTTACTGTGTAGCTGGCCAATGCTTGATTGCGAAAGCCCAACAACAGCTCTCGTTTGCTCTCTCAGTCTAGACCTGTCAACGTGGATCAAACTGTGAGAGCTCAGCTTTAGATCAAAACAAAGAGGAAATCTGGACCACATCAGTTTGTTTCCTCGTTCAGCTGGAATTTTTACTATCTTTTAAATGAAAGCCCGTCGACTTTATCCACTTGGATTCACACATTCTTGTTGTAAGCAATAGAGGAATTAGAGATGAGATGTATCAATTAGGTATGCTAAGTACGCCATTTAGCTTTATTGTAGGGGCCATTGATAGCAAACTTCTGTCCCTGCCAGGGGCCAAAAAGCCCAGTGTTTTCTTATGCCATTGGTAAAGACAGAGTGATAATAGGTTACAACACCCAGATTCTGTGTGTCTCTAGCCTGGGTGACGCTAGAATGACCTCTTATCCCCAATCCTCTGACCTCTAGAATCAGCCCAAAGGCATCAGAGGGGGAAGCAGAAGTGGAGGGGAGTTAGAGTTAGCAACAGTGGAAGTGTAGCCAGAGAGCCCAGGGGCCAGAGCCCCTTCCAGTGACCCATGACAGGACAGGATTGGGGATCAGAGGGGCTGGCCTCTGACCAGGCTGGAGCAAAGGGGCCACCACGCATAATAGCCCTTGCTGGGGCAGCCTTGAATGCTGGGGAGTGAAGTGGCAAGGATTTGTTGAAATGTGCGTGCACGCGCAGTGGCTGCCTAAAGCGATCGCCTGCTCAAATTTACAGCAAGCCACAGTCAGTGAACCCCCGTGAGCCGGAGGCCTCGTTAAAAGGTCGACCTTTAGTTTCAGGTCAAGTTTTGTGAAGAGATTTCAGAAGAGAGGAAGTCCTGCGTAGTTGTAAACCTAAATGTTTTCTTGCTCGTTTGATTGGCTATTTTCACGCTTTTAATGAGGTAAACTAAATTAGGTCCCGTGATTAAGCATTTATGGATATTTACAAATATAATAAAAAGAGAGCAAACTGTCATTTTCTGTCTTTTTAAAAAAATCAGTAATTCTGTGTTCTCTTGTACACTTTCAGGTTGTGAGACAAGTTGGTGGTGGTCTAACATACTGCCAACATGTTTTAGTTTTTAATAAAAAATTATAGAGAATGTTTGTAGTTACAAAACATTTTAGATATTTTCTAAGAAAATTATGCCTCTTAATCTTTTAACCTGTTTTATTCATTTCTGATTTGTATGTTTTATAAAGTGAATGTGACGACATAATGAGTACATTTAGGAGAGAAGTGTACATTTTATGCTTCCCTTTCTTTTCATTTCCGGCGTTCAAATTTGAAATGAAGCATCCAGGATACTGTTCGTCTTTAATTCAGAGAGACATACCAACAATAACACCACCACAGCTTGAAGTTGGCAGACAGCCCTGATTTATCCGCATTTTAAGAAACTCAGACACAATCTTCATGTTTATACTCACTGTGGCAAGTTCTGCTCTAAGACTGACAAATGGCTAAACATATAAGATTACATCTCCTCTCAGAAGTGCCCTTTTCCTCACTATCCTGCAGTTTGGAAATACGTTGTTCGGTTGTTTGTGACAGCTAAATAAATTAACAAAGTTAGACAATGTGGCTAACTTTTCTTCCTGCTTGTTGTGGGAAAAACAAAAATCAGTGGAAATATCTCAACAGTGAGAACATCTGTGCACACACCTTTTTTTAAAACTTCTTATGTAGTATAAGGAGACACATGAGTTATCCAGAGATGTGATTTTCACAAAATATTTCAGTTCTAAAAACTGTGCTGTCCAGTCAGTGCAGGACACATAAACCTCAGTTCAGGCTAGCGCTGCACAATATTGGAAAAAAAAAAGCTGACATCCAGTTTTTTTATTTAATCCTGCAATGTTTACTGCAGTATGAAAAAATACAGGAATTTTAAATAGTTGACTTGAATAATACTTTAAGTTATGCTGCCATCTCATTGACAGTGAATCTGCAGCTATTCCTGTAATTTTGTGTTGTTTGCTTTTATTGTGTTGGTTTCCTTCTATCACGCATAAACGTGAATGGCATTTTTCCAATAAACAAACCCAACGCGTAGCCTCTGTGTCGAGCTAAGTTTCCATCACATTTTAATACTAGCATTCATGCTAAACCCCATTTTACCTCTTTGTCTCCTCATTTTCATCAAGACTCTCGTCGTCCTCCTCCACAGTTCGATAATTCACCGACAACAGTTCTCTCTAAACTCTGCCATAATTGTCCCAGAAGTTTCACAACAGAATGACTTTTTTTGGTTGTTTTTTTTTTTTTTACACAAAGCCACCTGCAGCTACTTCTGCCAGAGGAAGCAGCTTGTCAAAATAAAAGCCGTAACGCACAACTGTTTAATGCAACGTCTTTGATTTAATTTGCCTCCTACATCACAGGACATGCATTGTACATCTACATTTCTTTGATGATCCTTAAATGATAAAGCGTGCAACTGTAGTTTAGGGTTTTTTTTTATTTATAATTTTTTTGCCAAACTTTAGAACAAAGAGTTCTCAGTTTTACTGACAAATTATTACATCCAATTTGGGGCCCCAACCTGGAAACAAACTAAACTAGAAACAGAATCTGGATGCGTTTTAAACAGATTTAGGTTGCTTCAACAAATACAATTTTTATTATTTTGATTTATTCATATAAAATTTAGCCATGAAAAAGGACAATAATAGTTCAGCCTGTTTCTGTCTTTGTGCAATTATGTGTGTGTTGCCGAAATGTCTCATGAACCAATTGATGAGCATTAATAATGTACAGTGTCTCACAAAAGTGAGTATGCTCTATACATTTTTATAAATATTTAGTTAAAACTTTTCATGGGACAACACTGAAGATATGCCACTTTGACACAATGTGAAGTAGTCTGCGTACAGCTCAAATAACAGTGCTAATTTGTTGTCCCCTCAAAATAACTCAACACATAGCCATTATTGTGTAAACATCTGGCAACAAAAGTGAGGGGTGTACTCACGTTTTTCAGATACTGTATGCAGCTAGTTTTGAAATTAATCTTATGATTAATCCAGTGAACTGCCACAACTAGTCAACATTAACCAACATAACTATGGCTTTAACTCAGTCAAATTTACAGATATCTGACTACAATTGAATGGGATATTAGCTGAATTGCTCTCAACATATTCTTTGAGCTTGAAAACTTGTGATTTCTCACAAGATTGTGCTGTTATTTTTAAGATTTGATCAAATGAGCTAAAACTTAATCTTTTCTAAACATAAGATGATCTTTGTTTAGATATGAAAAGCTACAAATAATATGCATTCCTTGAAAGATTGAATAAGGCAGGCTCTCGGTAGCTTTTTGTTTGTTCTGTTGGAAACCTTGCATTTTGTAATCTCACTTCTGTATGTCTCTGCTGTCTCATCTCAGGAGCTAATTCCAGAGTTCTTCTATCTGCCCGAGATGTTCGTTAATGCCAACAGTTACAACCTGGGAGTGATGGAAGATGGCACCGTAGTGTCGGATGTGGAACTTCCACCTTGGGCCAAAAACCCGGAGGAGTTTGTGCGGATTAATCGACAGGTAACACTCACACCCTGTCTCATAAAGCAGTCATACAAAGCGTGAGCAGTCACAGCTCAGGCTGAAGTCACGTTTCTGCAGGTTTAGCTTAAAGCGCTAATTGAAAAAGGCAGTATAGTTTTCTGATTGTATCAGTCCTTCCTGTTACCTGACACTCCCACTCCTCTAACAGGCTTCAACTTTCAGAGCTTGATATAGATGAGCAGCTTCTATTGGTTAAAGATGCCTGTTATTTTAGTCTTTCTTTGCAATCATTAGTTTTCTAATGGCAGGTTGGCTCTAAGGGTAAACTTGTGTTTTCAAATGTCAGATTTTCACTTCAGTTATGTTTATTTTTTTTGGGTAGCAGCATTTGTTTAGTGTGTGCCCACAGCAGTAATGGGTGCTGATGAGGCTGGGTGTGCTCTGTGACCTGTGCAGTCTTCTGTGGGTTTGTTAACCAGCCTCCTGATATGACCAGGCCTCTGTCATTAATCACACATTCTGCCTCTCTCTGTCTGGCTGTCAGTACCTTCTTGGCCAGTGTGGATGTGTCATGGGGAAGCTTGTTGTGTTGGAGGCATGCTGTTTTATGAACTGAGCACGTCTGTTATTTGTGGTGAGGAGAAACTGGCCTCACACTGTGGCTAAGTTGCAGTGTTGTTTGTAAACAATTAGTTTGATAGTTGTAAAGAAAATTCCATACAATATTTGTTTACTTATATCCTAATACTGTATGAAATGTTTGTGTTTTTGTATCGTAGTCTATTTGAAACAGTTCTGTTTGCAGCTACTGTGGGATGCAGTTTATGCACTTTATACTTTAACTTCAGATCATCTAAACTTAGACATGTTTGGTATCCACAGAAATGTCAGAAACTTGGCTAAAAGCTCATAAAAACATTTCTACACCCACCAAACTGTTAAAACCGCAAGCAGTTCAATCAGAAAGTAAACAAACTTTACGCAGTGGCACCAATGCAAATTTATGCATATATTGGAGCAAATATGTAATAAAATTATGATCATTTTTTAGACTTCTTTTTCTAGAAATGCAAGTCAAAGCAAATACCAAAATGTTAATTGTTTTGAATGTTTTATTTTTTTACATTATTTTGTGTAATTTGCATAATTTCACATTGCTTTATATGAATAGGGTGAAAACTGAATGTCTGTAATGTTTAAAAACCATTCAGAAACAACTGATTCAGAAAGTCTGCAGTGGCTCTATTTACCTGAATACGTGGAACTCTGAGGCTGCTCGTTTTGTTTGTTTTGCCAAACTGAGATATTGATCCGACGTGCAGCCGAGCTCATCAGACAGGTGTAGTTGATCAGAAACAGAAGCTCCAAAGAACAATGGGATCATTCTGTGAGGATCAGGTTCCCAATTGCATAGAAGCACAATATGAGGTTTAGTAAGCTTTCTTTATCAATTCCCTCAACTGAATTCATATTATAGTAAACAAAACTCACATTATTCATAAGACCAAGAATGACCCACACATTATTTTTTTGAGAACTTACCTATATTGCTTGCCCTGCCTAACTTTACGTTTACCTTTTGATGAGATCCAGTCAGAGTAGTCCAGATTCTACACAAACTTGGCCGAGGACGAATGTAGGGAGGGATGTGTGGGTGGACAGGTCTCTGGTCATGACAGATAGCTGACATTAGAGGGTGTCAGCTGGCAACTGTGGTGCTGTTGGGAGAGAGATGAGCGCGACGGAGAGAGGAGAGGAAGAGTGAAGGAGTTAATGGGCTGTTTGGCTCTCTTTAGCAATTCTGCTGCTAATGGCCTCACAACATGAGGGTAGACGGTGGGACAGAGCGCGCAAACACACGCGAGTGCAGGCTCGCTAACGAACACACACACGCCTGCTGTCTCCACTCTGGTTATGAGCCTTAAATGATTAAGAGCTAATTAGGGCTCAATCTGGAGAGGCCATTAAAATCCTCTCACAGTAAAGGATTGTGCTGCTGTGTGAAACTGCAGCGTGTTTTTGTTGTTGTGAGGAGAGTTGCATAGCTGGTTGTAAAACTGAAAATCTTGGGGAAGATAAACAGTACAACAAACTGTAACCTGGTTGATTCTGTTCTGCTGGTAAAAAGATCATAGTTCATCAGTAATGTTTATCAAGAAATGTTTTGCATGGAAACAGATTTAATATTAAAGGCCGAGCATTCCTTAAAGGAACGCATATCATCCAATTTTTGTGCCAGAATTTTAACAGACTATCTTATATCAAAAAAATATGTAAATGTGTCCATTTTGGTTCCACCTTAAAGGGGCAACATCATGTAAAATCTACTTTTTTGAGTTTTATATCACATTATAATGTTATACTCTCATAAAAAAACATGCCCAAAGCCTTGCTTTGACTCATTCATGCGTATTTGAGAAATCCTGCAGCGTTTTTAGGAAGCCATCCTGAGGAGCAAAACGACAGGTGGGGACTAGAAACGCCTTTTGGGACCAGAAACGCCCCTGGGACGTGTCT